AAAAAAAAAAAAAAAAAAAAAAAAAAAAAAAAAAAAAAAAAAAAAAAAAATTGTGGTGGGGATGTAGCTCAGTACTCCTGTGTTCAGTCCCCAGGACTGCCCCTCCACCCAATTTGGCTCAATGAGTTTAACTTTGAATCTCATTGTATTTATTCTTCATAGGCTCATTTATCTTCCTGTACCTTTAAGTCAGTTCTAGATAATTCTCATCCATTATTCTCTTTAAATATTGCCTCTCTTATTCTCTGTTGTAAATGTTTATTGGACTCTTTTATTCTGTCATCCATGCTGCTTAACCCTGCTTCATACTTCTCATACATTTAACTTTTTATCTTGCATTCTGGGTCATTTTCTCATATTTATCATCCAGTTTACTAATCCTCACTTCAGATAAATCTAATCAGGTGATTAAAGCTGTCCATGGAGTTTTTAATTTGTCACTATAGTTGTGATTTGTAAAAGTAGCATTTGGTTCTTTTTCAAGTCGTTTTTTTCTTAAAACCTTGAAAATTCCTCGTTTTACATTTTAATCACTTTAAGTGTATTTTATGGTCTTTATTATAAATTCTTGGCATCTAATCCTGCCATTGCATCTGCCATCTCATGGTAGACTGTATTTTAAAACTTCATATTTTGAGTACATCTTTACAGAGACTTATGGGAATACTATTATAGGGCATGGGTTTTGGACATGTTCCCTGGAATAGATATTTGTTTGCTTTTGTTGTGTTCATACATATTTCAGCCCAGTTCAAATTGTCAAGTTGATTTCATAGCATGGGTGTTCCCAAAATATAAATATAGTGTAGAGGGTGATTCCAAATTTAAAGTATCTGTACTGTGTAGTACAGGTCCACAGTTATACAGTCTCTCACACAAGTTTAGCTCCTATCCTAAATCTACTCAGGAGAGACTTTCTTTTCTTAATGGTACTGGTAAACACCTAAAACAGTCTGGTTTCCTTTTATTCTGGACTTTGGGACATTTATCTTACCCTCAATCAGAAAAAATGTTTGTTATATTTTATTTAGACTTACAGGAATTCAGTGGCACGGGGTTTTCAGGGAAGCTAAATGTGTTGTGCTGGCAAAAGCAGAAATCTGGGGGATGCCATTTCCCTGTATTTAAAAGATTATATATTCAGCATTTTCTCTAATGTGGAAAAATTTCAGTGTACCATTTATTTGCAGTGGATTTTAGAATGTGAACCATTTGGGTTTTTTAAAAAATCTGTTGAATTACTTCATTCTTATAAATTACCTGGGAACTACTCTTTCTAAATTTGCATTGGACACTTCTTGAAATAGTGTTCATTAAATAATTAATTCTTCATTGGAATCTAGAACACAGTGCATATAGAATAATAGTAGAAGAAGTTTTTGTGTATTAGTCGTAGTTCTTTTAAGAACAAGTAATAGAAATTCAACTCTAATTGGCTCAAGTAAAAAAAAAGATATTTATTAACTCAAATAGCTGAAAAATCCTGGGATATATTGTTTACATGCTCAGAAAAGGTAATTAAAGCCTGTCTCTTTGGACCACTTGGTTCTACTTTCTTCTATGTTGGTTTCATCCTCATTTGGACTCTGGCAAGATGTTTTCCAAAAGATCCATATAAAGAGGGCTTCTCTTTCCCAGTCTAGCACATGTAGGACTGTGGCCTATAACTTAGGTCAACTTTCCATTTCTGACAAACCCACATGGCTGGTGTGGGGTAATATACTCAGTGGGTGGCTAGAATCAGCATTGGTCAAACCACATAGGCTGTGGATAGAGAGGATGGTTCTCTGAGAAAACGCTGGAAGCTGGGTAAGTAAAGCACCACAGTATTTCAATCATCTAATTTCCTATCTATATTTACTGTTCATTTCAGGACAGTGTTGAGTTTAGAAACATCTGCAGTCATTTGGCTCTACAAATCGAAGGACAGCAGTTTGACAGAGACTTGAATGCTGCCCATCAGTGTTTGAAGACAATAGTTAAGAAGCTGATTCAGTCACTTGCCAATCTTCCTTCAGATGCCCACATGGTTGCCTGCGCTTCCTTGAGACAGATCTTACAGAATCTCCCAGACACATGAGGGTTAAAAGCATTGAGATGTAATCCACAGCTAGCATTAAGAGAACTGTATTCCTTAACTTCCTAATTGCATCAGAAGACAATGGACATTTTTATTCCCAACAAGGAGACTTGATAGCACATATAGCAGTCTGTCAGCGGTACTTGTAGCTTCCACAACTATAGCATGTTAGTGAAAAATTTTTAAAGCTGTGATTCATATATAAGTATGTTGACTTATTTGCTTTCTTTTCAATTGAAATATATTTCATTTTGTGAAACTGATTGGATTACATGAGTTTATATTTATTAATGCATATTAAGTGTTAGCTTTCACTGAATGGTACCTTAAAGTCATATTAATGAATGCGATAAGGTTTAATATAGTTATTTATAATTAAAGCTCCATGGATCTTAAAATTATCTTGAATATAAAAGACATGTTTTACTTGATGGCACTTCACTTTTGGTTATGTGAGTGAGTTTTCGTTGTAGGACCCCATGAGACAGTACAGTAATTATGAATTTCAATCCTAGTGTTAATAACTTATGATTGGGAATGAAGCATTGCTTCTAAACCTTGTGCTTTCATATGCTGATTTGTAAGCTTAAAATGAGCTCTGAAGTACCAAGACTACATGATATGTAAATACAAAGTACAGTGTTATTAAAATCTCATGTGGAACATCTAGCTTTTCTTATCTGTTTCTAACCATTCTGAATGAAGTGGGACATTCTTATGAAAAAAGGAGAGTGGGCAGATTTCCCTTACCATTTAGACACTGAGGATTGGGAAAAGCAAAAGAGGATTCTTTTTAATGCAAAAAAATCTGTATATACTTAGAAAAACCTAAGGTTCCTCTTGTTTAATGACTGTATGAGAACAAAATAAGGTGAAGTGCTTGTTCTCTCCTAAATGTTAAATAGAAATAGCCTGTAGATTAAAAAAAAAGTTGATAGTGTATATGTACAGCTTATTTTCTGAAAGTATTATAAACTGGGTCTATGTGATGAGAGTACATCCCCTGTCTTTAAAAAAAAGTACTAATAGTAATCAAAACCTTTATAATCCTCCTTATTGTGATCCTAGTTGGTTAAAAATGTTTTCTTCCAGGATGTGAGAATGAAAAGTAAATCTATATAATTGACCATTTCCACAGAAAAGAATGTGAGAAACAGGAAACTGAATTCTGAAGGAAAGAGGGAAGCTTTTTAGTGTATTATGTGTGTTGGGAGTAGTTTTGAGGGCCAGTAAGGCATTTATTTCTTGGAAATACTCGGTAATTATTTTTTCTCAGTTCTAGTAAACATTTTATTTGGGGTAGGCTATGACTTTATTTTACGAGGAGGGTTTTCCTCCCGAAAGAAACATCCTGGTGGTCTCTTTTAAAACTCATCATTACATATAAGGTGCCTTCCCCATTGTAATTAATAATTCTGCCAATATTAAGGTTTTTAAACTCTTACCCAATGACATTGAGCATTTTGACTTTTCTATCATTACTTGTGCTTTTTACTAACTTTGTACCATGTCTTCCACATATGATTAAAATCCAACCCATCCTTCAAGGCTTGATTTACCTGCCCCCTCATATGTATCCTTCTGGACTAGCCTAAATGGAAGTGAGCTCTTTGTCATCTTTCACAGAGCACATTTTGAGCTACTGCTCTGGTGTTTTTATATACCATCTTTAAAGCACTGCTATTGGTATATCTGTGACCAAGATCAGTTTGTGAAGGCAAGAATTTTTCTAGATCTTTTCATATGGTAGCCACTGGCCACACATGACTCTTAAGAACTGAGATGTGCTTAAAATGTAAAATGCACACTGGCTTTTCAAAATTTAGTACTAAAAGAAGAAAAATAACCTAAAATATCGAAATATTTTCAATATTGATTAAATGTGGAAGCAATAATTTTGAATATGTCGGGTCAAATAAAATATGTCATTAAAATTAGTTGTACCTGGTTCTTTTCACTTCCTTTGCGCCTACTAGAAAATTTAAAACTCCATAGGTAGGATACATTATATTTCAATGGAACAGTTCTGTTCTAGAAAATGTATTAGGCAAATCATGGCTGTCCTTGACAATTCACCCTCTGAATGTTGTTCCATACCTTCTCAAATTCTACTGTTATCCCCCCTTACTGTTCCCAGCTGATTACTTGGCTTCTAATTGCAAGGGTTAATGAAAGCTATTGGAAAGCATATTTATCATCTCAGTAGCAGATCACCAGCCTTGCATCTGCACCAATATACTCTGAGTTCCTTTTTGGTATAAGGAGGACCTGCCCTGCTCCCACCCAAAGCTTGTCAACCACTCAGGTCCTGAATGGCTTCTCACTCACTGACTTTCCTTTTGCACCCATTTCTTTGTGAGCATTATCAACTTTTGCCTCTCAGTAGGAATATTTCCCCAGCGTGATATTATATTAGAGTGTGTCCAATATTTTAATTCCCTTAATAGTAAAACTCATTGCAATAATTGTCCAAATCAATTGTCTATATTTTATTTTTTCCTATTCTTTTCCAAACTCATTCCAATTGAAAATTGTGCCCACAACTGCTCTTGCGAAGACCGTTTATGACTCCCCCACCTACAAATTCAATGGCAAATCATCTTATTTGACTTCTTAGCAGCTTTGGACACAGTTAATTATTCCCTTTATATGTTTCCAAATGAGCAGACTTTCATGGTTTTAGTTTTTTACTGGCTCCCTCCATAGCCCTTTATCCTGGTTTGTCCAAATGTCCTGATTTCTTGATTTTGGAGTGTTTCAGGGCTCACTTTTGGCCCTCTAGCTTTATTTATTACTTGGTGATTTTAAATACCAGCTATTTACCCTTGACACCCAGGTATATAGTTGTTTTCTGACCTCATCTTCAGGTTTCTGCATCTAACTGACTTTAGACTCTTTCCACTTGGATATTTAAAAGGCATTTTAAATTTCAGAATGGAATTCTTGGTTCCCTAACCTGCTTCTCTCCATCTTCCAAATATCAGTTGGCTGTGACTCCTACCCTTTTGGTCACATTAAAAAAGCTCTTAAATTCTTCCTTGACTTGTCTATTACTCTCACCTACATTTATATAATCAACAAATCCTATTGGCTCAATCTTCAAAATATATCTCAAGTCAGATCACTTCTCACTACTTCTGTGACCACTACCCTAGTCCTAGGTACAGTTAGTTTCCCCCAGAATATTACAGTATCTTCCTAAATGGTCAGTGCTCACTCCCTATCATTTGTTCTCTACACGTCAGCCACAGTAATAGAAGTCAGTTCAATCACTCTATATCTCTCAGCCACCAAAGGCTTTCCTTTTTACTAAGAATACAATTCAAATTCTGCCCATACCCTATACTCTTCTATTGTAACACGTAGGCTTCTTTGTCATCCTTGTCTCTTCAAATACAACATCTAGTCTTAGGACCTTTGTACTACTCTTCCTACTACCTGAAAGACTTTAGTCTCGTCTACTTCAAATAGGTCTCTGCTGCTTGTCACCTCATTAAAAAGGCCATCTCTTGCCCCCTTAATGAAAATAGCATCTCCACCATTCTTTTATCTCTCCTTCCTAGTCCCCCCACCCTGCTCTTATAATCATTCAAATTTATTGCATTTGTATATTGTTTGTTGTCATGTGTAACTAGTTGTCCTCAATAGAAGTGTTCATGTCATAATTAAGAGAAGCTGTAGCAATTATATATGGACAAAAAGTGAATATTACCTTAGATTGTGACAGGTGTTATTACCTTAAATATATTGTGACGAGACTATCTGGGTTTATCTGAGTGGGAACCCTAAATGCAGCCACAAATGTCCATATAAAGAAGAGGCCAAAGAAGAGAAAGTAATGTTCCCATGGAGGCAGAGGTTGAAGCTATGTGCCCCATAAGTCAAGGAATGCTGACAACTGTTAGAAACTAGAACAGACAAAGACTGGATTCTCCTCTAGAAACCTCAGAGGGAATTCTGCCTTTAAGATACTTGATTTTGGACTTCTGCCCTCAAGAGCTGTGAGAGGATACATCTTTGTTGTTTTTAAGACACCCAGTTTGTGTAATTTATTATCACAGCCCCAGAAAACTCATCCACAGTATGATTGTGTTCAAATTTTTAAAAAAGTTTTACAGTACAAAACACATTGCCATTAATCTTCCTCAGAATACTCCCTTTCACCTCAAATACACTTATCCTGTCATTCCTGCTACTTTTTGAAGTGATTGTGAGAGTCCTTTTGCATAGGATAATCCTACTGTCATGGCTTCCTTGATGTTCCGAATTGGTCAAAACATTCACTTTTCATGGTCACTTTGACTTTGGGAAAGAGTCATCCAGAAGTTCCGTCGTGCCAGATCTGGTGAATAAAGTAGAGGAAGACACACCATACTGTTTTTACAAGTCTGCCTTTCTATTGGATGGCAATTGGCAACAGCATTCACCATATTTTTCAAGTCACATCTTGTAAAAATACTTACAAAAGAAGACTTCCAGAACTACTTCAGAAAGCAAAGGGCATATTTTATGGGGGATTAATAGCAACATGTCTTTTACTGTAATGCTTTTAAAAATTTAAACATTCACCGTGCTTTTTGAATACTCCTTGAACACTTGTCTTTCCTTGTTAGAATGTAAGCACAAGGGATGTTATGCATGGCTCTATTCCATGTCTGGAACAGAGTAGTAGCTCAATAAATATTTGATGAATGAAGATATGCAAATCATGTGGTTAATTAACCTTTTTAAAACAAAATATTTTGATGTCTCTAGAAGATCTTCAAATTTCATGTACTTGGTAAATATCTAAACTCAAAAATTGAAAAAGATAATTTTAAGGATTAAATTTGGGTGTCGAGTTAAAAAATCTTGTAGCAATCGCTCATAAGTGGCAAGTAGTCATTATCATCCTAACAATTACTGGGCCAGTCTGGGCCATTCTGAAGAGTGACCCTTTTTTCCTTCAATTTTCCTGTGTAGTTCTTTTTCTCTTCTCTCATTACTTAAAGCCAGCCAGCCTGTGTGTGTGTGTGTGTGTGTGTGTATGTTTAAAATGTAAGACCACACAATAACTTCAGCAATATGTGACACTTTCGTGAGGAGAGGCTGTAGATCTCCTTTCATAACCCTGAAACAAATGAGTCATCTGATATTTTCTCCATTGAATTTCCTTGAATATTTTACTCTCCCAGTTTGTGGATGGTCCAAACACATTTGCTTGTGGATCAAAAGTAGGGAACATGCTTCAGACCTTCTAAGTAAAATTGAATAAGTGAGTGAGAAGATGGGAAGATGGTTCCTATGCCCCATCTCTGGTCCTTAGAAACCTTCCTCACTACCCTCTCTACTTTCCTGGAAGCTCCAAGAGCTCCCAGATCAGCATGTTTCTATATCTTTAACTGTATGCCTTACACTAATTCAAGAACTACAAGTTCCCTTGGCTGTGTTCTATTTCTTTTTCATTTTTAGAAACAACTTTCTTCATCTGCTTAAATGTTCTGTTACTATTCCAACACAGTTTCTTCCCAAAGTTTCCTTGACTTAAACAAAGGCCTTTGGAGGGTAGGAAACTACTCATATACTTGCATCGGACAGACTATTGGACTGCCATAATCAAGCCTTTCACATCTTAAAATTCTCCTCTAGCAGCTGGCTTTATTTTCAGTTTTTCTTCATGTGCTGGTGCCAGAACATTATGCAGTAAATCTATATGAGATGACTATAAATTCCGTGGATCTATGAGTTTCAAGACACATTTAATTCAGCAAAACTTCAACTAAGAAGTGTTCCGTATCATTTGGGTATCTGCATCAGGGATCCCAGTGTTCCATTCAAACAACAGCCAAAAAATTACCACAGACAGTCCTGTTTTCATTTAGCTGCATTGGGCCATTGTAGCCCTGGCCTGTGTTCCAGAGGGCTTTATCTTTGTCTGATGTGACTTGTTTACTGCTATGCTCAGTAGACATAATGTTTGAAGTTGAACAATACTTTATAAGTTTCTCTTCTCATAGACAAGCTCCATGCTCACAGTTTTAAGTCAGGAGACACTTCCAAGGCTGGCAGGAGCTTTTCCTGGCACAGAAGTACCATTAATTTTTCCCCTTGCCTGGATAAAGACATTGATAATAATCACGGTTTTATTTTCTTTTTATTTAAAAAAAATTAGGATGTGTCATGGAGCATAGCAGTATCTGGCAGAGAAACAAATTCCTAGTGATCGTAGAAACAAGTTGCAGAAAATACAGAAACATAGCACCAGCTTGGAACACAGTGTGTGTGTGTGTGTGTGTGTGTGTGTGTGTGTGTGTGTGCATATACTGAGGATAGAAGGAGAAGGAAGAGTGATGGAGAGCACTCTGAGCAAGCTACAAATTCATAACCTGGCTTTTCCTATTAAAAGCCTGAGTCTGCCTATTAGCCCACAGTGGCTTGCCTGAGAGCCAGCAGTTGGTGTGTGAGAAAGGAACAACTCCCTCCACCACTGGTCAAAGTAGAGGTCTCAATAATCTGTGCTGCTGTGACATCTTGGATGGCATGACAATAGTGTAGCTAAGGGCAGCGTAACTCATACAGAAAACTCCTATAGGGGCAAAAATTAATCCATGGGAAGAAACAAATTTTTCATTGATCAATGACCTGTTCCTAATAGAATATCTTGTTCCCTTGTTGCTAGGACCCTGTTCACATCAGTGTTCTCCTCTCCACTGTTCCCTGCACCATCCCTTACCCTTTCTAAAGCTGTATGTTCAATAAATAGTGGCAATCTCCAGGAGATGGTGTCTTAGCTTTATAAGAGCTTTGACCATCCTGGACCCCCATCAATACATTAAGATTTTTTCTTGTCT